TTTAAAATGAGGACACAAGAAGCAGAGAGAGAATTTAGACCCAAACAATGTAAGCGCTTAAATGATAATTCTGTAAAAAATGTAATGTACAGAGTTTCTACCCCAAAAGTAGACAGACAGTCAGGACATGTTTGGCATCTGAAGTTTGCTTCTTTAGTTTTGGACTGGAAAGCTAATGTAGCTAATAAGTGACCGCAAATCCTAAATTTAGTCCATGTTTATAGACAACAGTGAATCATACAGTGTCAGAAACCATATAATCAAGTCTATTAGAGATTAATAAACAACTCCACATGCTTTCAGACGAATGTAATGATTGAGGTCTGATGTTGACAGCTTCCACACACAAATACGTTTGGTCAACGTAAAGAATTAAATCTGATACACAAAAGTTTGTAATAACTCAAATTTATTACTGTTGTTATTTTAATCAATAAAATATATACAGTGTAGACACTATAATATCAACTATTCAGAATTTTAAGATGTTTTAATCACATTTAATATACTTAACAAACACCAAGAAGTCACTAAACGATAAATAATATAATGTAATTACCTATTTTGTAATTTTGAAAGTCTTTAATCTGGATATTAATTTTATTAGAACTTTATTCCGAGTGTTAATTTTACCAGAACCTCATTCGGAATATTCATCTTTCTAGAACTTCATTCTAAATTATTCATTCTATTATTTTCTTTAGAACTTTATTCTAGAAATTAATTTTATTAGAATTCTATTCTAGATATTAATTTTGTAAGTCTTCATTCTGGATATTAATTTTATTAGAACTTCATTCGGGATAATAATTTAATCAGAATTTCATTCTGCATTGTAATTTTATTAGAACGTCATTCTGAATATTAATTTAATTAGAACTTTATTCTGGATATTAATTTTATTTGAACTTCATTCTAAATATTAAATTTATCACAATTTCATTCTAGATTATAATTTTATTAGAACTTTATTCTAGAAATTAATTTTATCACAATTTCATTCTAGATTATAATTTTATTAGAACTTTATTCTAGAAATTAATTTTATTAAAACATCATTCCACATATTCTTTTTATTAAAACTTTATTCTGGATATTAATTTTATTAGTACTTGATTAGTGGTGTTACACAGCTTTCTCAGTCATGCACATCATGTTTCATCATGTACACATTTCTTTATTTTTACAGCTAATTATTGAAACCTATAAAGTTGTAGAGCACTAGCAGCATATTAAAATCACCTGATATATGTGTCTGGTTTTATATTAATAAAAACAGTGATACCAAACTTTTGAACAGTGGTGTAATTCTGAAATATGGCATAAGAGACAAAGCTGATGGGTTAATTCAGGACCTATTAGAGTCACATATGAAAAAAAAAGATCAATAAAATACTGCAGTGATGCTAACAAGAGCTCATGTCGTGAGTGAGTGTGAGTTAAAAAGCATCTGAAAGGCTGGGTGTTTGGTGTAGTTTAATGAGGGATGAGAGTCTTGGCCTCAAAGATAAAAAAGTGGAACTTCAATCCTGACTGTACAAAACCCAGACACACATATGGAGGAGTGCAGGAATGCTAAAGGCCATAAATTACGTTTAATTGCTCTGGTCGGCCATAGCTGGACGCCTACTGCGGGGGGGTTAAAAAAAAAAAACCTGGACATGAATCACAGATATGATGTGTTAGATCTCCAGCCAAACTCACTCCTCCCTTATAAAGCTGATGATGCGTTTCACCAAACCTCATCACAACCTGCACTCACTCACTCACCTACACAGAGAACAATGCTCAGGAACATCACTGAGATCAGAACCAGCCTACTGTTCTAAAATACACATTAACCTACTGTTCTGAGATCACCACTAACTCACTGGTCTGAGATCAGCACCAACCAACTGTTCTGAGATCAGCACCAACCTACTGGTCTGAGATTAGCAACAAACCTACTGGACTGAGATTAGCAACAAACCTACTGGTCTGAGATCAGCACCAACCTACTGGTCTGAGATCAGCACTAACCACTTGTTCTGAGATCAGCACTAATCTACTGTTCTGAGATCAGCACCAACCAACTGTTTCGAGATCAGCACTAATCTACTGTTCTGGGATCAGCATCAACCAATTGTTCTGAGATCAGCACCAACCTACTGATTTGATCTACTCAGACTGAACTGCAGTGTCAACTGTAAATCTCCATTGGAAATTCATTTTAGTCTAGGATTAGACTTAATTTGTGTCTGTGAAACTGGCTCTACAGACCACTGATGACAATACTGAATGTTCCTGCCCACTAGATGCCAACGAGGCTGAGGTTGTGCCCATTGTAAAACCATCAGGCAGATGCATGTATGACCACTCAAACCTCCTTAGCTTCAGGAAAAACACTGGAGTGACTGTTTAGTTTTTGTGCTGAAGTCTTCATCAGCTCAGTCCTGCTAAGTGTATTTTGAACATGCTGTACTTTTCACCTTATATCTGTTTAAAGCAAATCGAAAAGATTATCAATATTTCAAAAGAGTGCACACAGGCCCAGATGAAATACACATTATTTGAAACGTCCTTAGATAACCTCTGTTGCTATGGCAACAGACGTGCTCAAATTATAAATTAGATTATTTTCGATGGAGGATTTTGTCAGTCCTGATGTAATCGTCTCTGGAGGTCACGTTTGACTTCTTCGATAAAGGCCATCGCGAAGAGCAGCCCAGCTGGCTGAGAGCCAGCGTGGCCAAGCTCTGGGTTTTTATTTTTTTTTTGGGGGATGTCTTCACAGCCTGTGAGAATACTGCCAAAGCCAAAAGGGAGATGGCAACTGCTGCCTAAAATCTCCCAACAGGCACCCCATTTATTACTTTGTAAGCTGTCGCTATTGTACAGCTACACATACACCAAAGCCTAAGTTAGGTGATTAACTGAGATTCCTACTCTGTGAAAATGTCTCCTGGCCAAGTGGATGAAGTGGACAAGGCAAAATTAAGGCTCAATCCCATTTCTTATTTTCACCCCTACTCTTTGTTTTCAAGGGTCACCTTGCCCACTGGAACTGAGTCACAAGGGATAGTGGTTGAAATCTTCCCTATGAAATGGGACCCTCAAATAGAAAAGAACATTACTTCATGCATTACTTCAGGCTACTAGCGTTTATTTATTATCCTCCACCCCTAATTCTTCAGTAATATGAAGCTGAAGTCAGCTATTCACCAGATTCTTGTTCGAATTTTCCTGTTCCCAAGATTTCAGCATACTACTACTGATTATGTTTTTTATGAAGAAAAGGACCATAATACATTGCAACGACATTAAACTAAGATAATACAATGGTTATCATATTTTAATAATGGAGAAAATACACACATTTGTGGGTTTCTTTGGTCACTTGCTCAGCCATCTTGCTTTTTCCTCATAACACTCTGTTCAGAGTGTGCCCCTGAAAAACCTCCATTTGCAGGGCCATGTAGCCCTAACACGTCTCTCTACCCCTCTATCTCATCAAAAATCGGGAAACCCTACCCCTAGGCGTAAACGCGCAAAGCAGAGAGGTAGGGCTAAGTGGTAGGGGCAAGGGGTGAAATGGGATTGGGCCCAAGTATACACTTGGGTTGGGCCGATGTCCCTTTTAAACACCTTCAATCCTTCTTCCAATAAATATAAAGTTTACAAAGTAAATCAGTAGTAAGTAGTAGTAAGTAGTAAGCGTCTCTAAGAGACAAACAGATTTATAATGCTTTTTTACCATCTCGTCCTTCATTATTCCAAAATCAAAAAGGATCAAAAATAGCAGTTCACTCACACGGTAATCAGTTAAGCATACCCAATTTTCAAATCACCATTCAATGAAGGTCAAGTCATCTAACAATCACTACATGTGGAACAGCGCTGGTAACTATGAGAGAGAGGAGTTTTTTAGCCTTGGTTTAGCTTAGCATAATAACTCTGAGCACCTGCTCATCACAGCACTAAAGCACAGACAAATATTAATGATAATTATTTCAATCTGAAAGAGTGAACTCAAGCAAATGTCATTGAAGGGACAGAAAGGCAAAATTAAACCTGTTCTGTGGTGTTTGGATCTGTAGCTAACGTAACGTTAGCTTAGCGGGCAGCTACAGACTCCACACACCACAGTACAGGTCTGATTTGAACTAACTGCTGCCCTGCTGAAACAAGTGTAGATGATAAAGACTAATGACTGAGAAAGCAAAAGTTGAGTGACTGGTACTGGAGTGACAGAAAGTCTATATTGAACCTGGTGTTTCTGGGACTGTAGCATTTTGGCTAAGCTAACAATATCAGTTAGCAGTATCAGTTAGTGCCACATACCACAGCACAGTCTTGCTTCCAGCTAACTGACGCTAAAATTACCCACATTTAGAGGATAACTAACAGCACAGAGTCGAGTGACTGGTGTTAGAGTGAAAACAAAAATCAAAACTGTTCTGTGGTGTTTGGAACTGTAGCATTTTGGCTTAGCTAACGGTAGCTTAGTTAGCAGGCCAAACGTCCCACACAACACAGCACAAGCTCGGTTCCAGCTGACTGATACTAAAATGACCTCCATTTAGAGGACATGTGAGTAGAGTGACTGGGGTTTCACTGGAATGAATGCTGAAATCGTGTTGTGTGGTGAGTGCAGCTCTTAGCTGTTGCTGAGCCGCTATAATGTTTAGTTTTTTAAGATTTTCTGCATCTCTTTCTATCAGCCCAACCTATTGGTGAACTCACACGACTCTCAAAAATAAATGTGTGAAATGTGTTCATTTGGAGATCCAGACAGGCAACAGAAATGTGAGAGAGAAATAATTTTTTAAATGTCATCACTATTTTCAAATATCACAGTGTACCTTATTACCATTATACCGCCCCACCATAGTATACACAGCTCGCAAAGTGAGGAACCTGAGAGTAAAGTCCACTCTCAGTGATCAACATTAGAAAGGTCTGGAAGAAAAGGATAAAGGGGGACCAGCTAGTAATGTGCATGTGACACCAAGAGCACATACCTAGAACATTTCCCACAGGAACCTCCTCAAGCTCCTCCAGCTCACGACCCATCAGCAGGTACAGATGCTCCAGCGTGCAGCAGGCCAAATGGGGCACGGAGGGCAAAGGGTCGGCCGCAGAACATCCGTCAGGCAGCTGGGAGGATTAGAGGCTTTTACAAGAGGGCAAATCCAGAGGCAAAAAGGCACCAACACAACAAGTAACACAACAAAACACAGAACTAGAAGGGAAGGCTTGTGAATTAAGCTGGCTTGACAAAGTTGGTGATATGCTATCATAAGTGGTTGCTAAAGTGTTGTCAGGCTTTTGCTATGGTATCCCAGGTGGTTGCCAATGAGTTGCTGGGCCATTGCTATGGTATCTCAAGTAGGCCTTTCCTATGTTATCAACATAAATGCTAATAAAAAGCAGAAATTGGAAGTCTTAAATTATATAAATGCAAAACAGCTAACATCTTCATGGAATGCATGCCTGGCCACTCTTCATGTGATTGTCAGAAAAGGCCCCTTATTAACAAAGAGAGCCATTTGCGCCTGTTAGCATCTTGTGGCATGTTTTGCATTTTTAACACATTTCTAAAAGCATTAAAAATCTAAAACATTTTCAAAACCGTTTCACATATACATGTCAGCAAACAGTTAATCCCATACGTCTGAAAAACTAGTTGAACAACCAATTTTTGAAAATCTCTGCATAAATCAATTATTGAGATGTAAACAAAGTCATTCAGAATGAAATGCTCCACTGTAGAGAATGTTTTAGGCCAAAATCTTCACAGAACTATCGAAAAACAATGTCTCAGGCATCAGGCACTGCATTCATAACCATTTCATGTAATAATTTTCTGTGAGGGAGCTTTTAGAGGTGGACATCTGGTTCCTATCACCACCACTGTGAACAATTCTGACTCTGTAACTTTCTCTAGAACGGAGCATTTCACACCAAACCACTCTGAATGACTTTGTTTACATCTTAACCATTTAATTATGCAGGAATTTTGAAAAAAGTTCACTATTTTAACTATTATAAGACATCTGGTCAGATCAGTACACAACAGCGTCTTCATTCTGTTCTCAAATAACCTCTTCTCTTTACAAATCTACCACATATCCTGTATCTTCACATTGCCTCGGCTTCTGTGCTGCCTCTGAGCTTTCACGCCGGATTACTTCAGAATACAAAGCAGGAGGTTTCAGAGAGGCATTTTATGAGTGCTGTATTAATGAGCATTAAGGAACAGCTTGTGTGGTTTGTTATGAGTGGGGTCAGGATGCAGGAGAAAACATGATGACGGTTAACTCTGCTAAACATCACCAGATGAAATCATTTCCTATCTGAACTACCATCTGTCTTTGATACCTGGTAGGGCTGTACAATATGGACAACATGCTACTACTGCAATTATGCTGCATACTGCAAGACCCACTGATATATTAAAATGCACTAGTGGATCAATAACACAATGAAATGCATTATTTAACCCAAATATTTTTTGTTGGATTACATGAACATCTTGATTCATCAAAGCACCTACAGTGAAGGTGGAGGAAAATATATATATATATATATATATATATATATATATATATATATATATATATATATATGTGTATTTTTCTTTTCTTTTTTCCAATTTTCTCCTTAATTTAGACGTGTCCAATTCCACCCACTAGTTGGGACTCCCCCAAGCACACAATACCACCGCATCTTTTCGAACTGTCACTAAAGCAGCGTCACTGGCCAGCTGACCACGCTCGGAAAAAAGCACCAACTGCCAGTTCTGTAACGTCAGTTAAAAGATGCCTGTGCTGGGTGATGGGGAGAGAGAGAGAGGCCATGAATGGCTGTCACCGGAGATTGTCTTTGCGATCTCCTGATGATAGGCCACTCGTTAGCCCTATATATTCATATTTTCACAAAAAATCCAATTTACTCACTTACCCCTTACCCCAAATGTATTCATTTAGCCAGGCCATGTCTGACGCCTGAAGTTTGCTTCTTGAGATTTGCACTGGAGCTACGAGGCTACTGTAGTATTCTGCCTACAACAACACACACTTGTCTCAAACTGTGAGGGGTTGTTAAGTAATATCTTCTAAACTTAATTAAGTGGATTCTGAGATATGGTTAACTCTAAACATGGACAAAAGCTAAGGCTAAGGTCACATGGCTAAAACAGCAGTAAAGCTTTAATTTTGTCTCTACTAAAAGGTGTTTTGTTGCAATGGAACTAAAAAGGTGCCCAACAGACAGTATTATTCAGTTTCCCCCACCTAAGATGCCTACATTGCTAATAATAAATGGACACCTATATGGGACAAACAGCTACATGCAAATGTCATCAGTCTAAGTCAGTGGTCACCAACCCTGGTCCTGGCAATTTACTTCCCTGTGGAGGCCTGTTTCAAATAAGGATGTGCACAGGCTTGAGTACTCTGCTGACCATTCAAGACGCCAGAGTTCGAATTCTAAAATCACTATTCAGGCATTTTTAGTATTCAGTTTTTCAATAATGCTTATTCAAGATTACATCTCGTTATAGGAAGACAGAGACAATATGCATACCAACAATTCAGTGAAAAATTTTATTTGCTGTTATGTTAAACTTGCTCTGAAACATGGCAGCCTGAATGTGAGCACATTGACAAGGACGTGATTAAGAAAGAAGACTTCGAGAAGTTGCATCACTAACTAAACTAACCACTCTAGCTGAAGTTAGCTACTTCCAGAAACAGAGGAAATGTATTTCTTAGGCAAATAAGATGTTGGCATATCATCCACTGTGGAGAAAATAAGATGAGCATCCATCAGTTCATCTAAAAAGGCAGCCTCGGTCACTCAACCAACATGAAAACCTCCAGATTTCCAAGTTTTTTGGATAACAAAACATGCTTTCAAGTTTATTCCTCTATTTGCTGCTATATTTTTGTGCAGTCAGTGCGGTCACCTAAAAAAGTAAGCCTACAGCCCTACATCAGTGTTTTTTTTCCCCTTTCATAAACTCTTATGAATACTTGAACATTAAAATTAGCCGGAAAGCAAATCTCTAGTTTCAACCACAATCTGCCACACCAGCTCCCGGCTAATTAACTTCTTCAGAAATCCTTGACTGGTTGGACCAGATGCATCAGTGTGAGTTAAAATGGGGTGGGGGACAAGGCAGATTAGAACTAAACTCTTCAGGAAAGTAGATCTCCAGGAGGAGGGCTGGTGACCACTAGTCTAAGTGATTTCCATTATCCTCCATTCACTGTTAGCCAGATTCACATGAAAAAAGGCTGGTCAGAAGGTCTCACCGTTCTGAGGGCAAGCGCAGGGTCGTATTTGGGTCCAAGCACAAATACTCTTTGGCCCCTGCGGACTACGCCACTGTAGATGCGTGCGAACGCTATGAAGTGCTCCTTCTCCTCCTCTTCTGCTGTGGGCTTCACCGTCAGAGCTTCTGTTTGTGCACACAGTGCATCAGTATCTGCAGGCATACAGTGAGAAAAAGAGCAATAAGAGGAGTGCAAAGATTCTTTAGAAAATGATTTCAAAATCATGAAATCTTAAGTTTTCACAATAATTGGATTTGATTATTTTGGTGTGAGTCTGGTACCAAGTTCAACACAGACTCTCAGGGCAGCTCTACAGAAAGTGAAAGGCAGCATCAGTGGTAATGCGTAGGTCTTCAAAACTTCTTTTTTAAAAAAAAACATCTTGTTTAAAAGGGTTTGCACCCCCTCTAGTGAGAATGGAAAATATAGCTATACTTATCAATTTTCCCAACTTGTTTATTGTTCCAGTCCTTTTCTTAGCGTAATTCAAAATTATTTGCTGCTTGCCTGTGTTGGTGCTGTTGGCTGAAGTCACAGTCTGAGCGCCCCCAGCGTTGGCTGACTCAGGGTTTTCTGCGCTCTGACTGGCCGCTTGTTTCTCTGCATGTCTCTGTCTGGCCATCTCCCGGCGCTGGGCGATCTCCTCCTGAGTCAAAGGCCTGCAGGGGAAAACCACATTACCCACATTGCACTGGGTTCAGCCATGGCCACATAGAGAGATCACTAATGCTGCTTTCAAGTGGTCTTGGTTTCATCTGACAAACTAGTTTCCCACCAGAAGGCACCACATGAGCACCCTTCAAAGTCAGATGATGAACTTGGCAGAGTTGATGTGAACACATCAGCACTGAGAAAAGAAGTGATCAGAACAACTAAACAACACTGTACAAACATAACAGATGGTAAAGTGCATTTAAAACGTGCAATTAAATTCCGTTTTATTTCTGCTACAGTTTCAATTTCAAAATACTTGTGAAATAAAACACCAGCAAGCCAATAAACAACAACAGCTATTTGTTTTGTTTACCTCTCACATAAACTACAAAACTACCACCACCAGAAAGCCGCACTAGCCAGACCTGTACCCTACTAGAACAACCAGCATAGACACCGGACACCAGTAAAACCAGCATATGATGTGTTCTGACTACTGGTATGCTGGTCAATAAGCACGACCATGCCGGGTGACCAGTTAAACCAGCACCAGACCAGCACTAGACCAGCATAATTCGTTCAGATCAGTATAATACCACGCTAATATGCTAGTAAATCTAGCACTTACGTACATTAATACTGGACTAATGTTAATATACTACTTCTATACAATACAAATGTTTTACTATGCTAACTAATCTAGCACGTCTGTATATTAATGCTGTGCTAATATCATGGCTAATCTAGTCTAATACTTAATATCATTCCAATATGCTAACTAATCTAGCACTTCAGCATTATAATATTCTAATGGTATTCTAATGCTAGCTAGATTTATACTATAATGCTATATTACCATGCTAATCTAACACTATATTATATAACACTTATTAATTATAGTATATTATACTAAAATACTAACAAATCATGCACTTCTGTGATGTAATACTGCACTCAAACAAGATGGTTCTTCAAGGGTTCTTTAGTAAAAGGTAATGGTTGTAATGGTTCTATATAACACTAAAAAGGGTCCTTCTATTGTTCCAACACCCTTAAAAATGATTCTTCAAGGGTTTTTATTAAAGAAAATGGTTCTATATAGAACCATGAACACTCTGAGAACCCTTTGCATGATTAAAGAGTTCTTTGTATTGTGAAAGGTTATTTTATTGGTACAAGCTTGACATCATAACAATAGCAGAACCCTTTTTGATTCTATATAGCACCAAAAAGGGTTCTGCTATTGTTATGGTGTCAAGCTTGTACTAATTAAAGAACACTTTTTGGTGCTATATAGAACCATCTACAGCATATTCTCCATCAGTCTGAAGAGTGTTTTCACAATACAAAGAACCCTACAATCATACAAAGTGATCTTAGAGTGTTCAAGATCCTATACAGAACCATTTTCTTTACTAAAGAACACTTGAAGAACCCTCCATTTTTAGGTGTGAAGCATTTTATGTGTGAACATTCTCCATCAGTCTGAAGAACATTTCACCATGCAAAGGTCCATTTAAGCATGAAATGGTTCTATATAGAATGCATAGTTCTAAACAGAACCATTCCCTTTACTAAAGAAGCCTTTGAGAACCATCTTTTTTAAGGATGTGTATCAGTATGCTAACTGAATGCGCATTCCTGCATTCTATCACCATTATCTTTACGTCTCATTCAGTGGGGGGAACAGTCTTAAAGTGTGAAGTGAGATGCAGATGATGTGGCAAAAGCTGTGTCAAGTCCCAATCTACTACTCTGATTTGCGTGGGAACGTACAACGAGAATATTCTCGCAAATTGAGCATAGATAATTGAATTGAACGGCACAGGAGTGAATCTCCGTGGAGGCGTAATGATGTAAAATAATACAGTAATGAGGGTGAATCGCAAAAACAGCTGCATAAGCAGTTTCAGAGCAAACCATTTTCACAGACTCCCAGCTTCAAAACGTCGAGCAGAACTGAATTAATTGGAGTTTTTTGCTTCAGGCGTTTCTTAAAGGAAACATATGAAGCAAAAACAGCCAAGAATATGTCAAAACTACTCTTAAAAGAACAAGGAGAGAACAGGAGAGAAATGCATAAAGCTACAAAGACTTACATACTGCATCCTCAGAGATTAAACATACTAGTAACAAGTTTACACATTCTCAGTATTTGCAATATACTGTCACTGCTGGAAACAATTTCATATTTCTTAAATGGTAACTTGAAAGGTGAAGGATTAAGCGAAATAAAAATAGTTCTTTACTTTTAATGTAAGTTAATGCAAAATGATTTTACTCCTCTTCATTTCTGATCATTTCTATCAACATAAAATAATGTTCACCCAATGTAAATGGCTGCAGGAAGTCTATAGGTCTATTTTTCCACACCTCCAAATTTTAGTCTAAGAAGTTGGTTGAATTGTTTTATCTGATGGGGACAGTTTTGGTGGTCTACCAGGTCTTGCCCAGTTATTAGGAACTCTCTGTCTTTGTAGCTGCGAACCTTTTTCTGAAATTCAGTTTTGTTGAGATAGTGAAGGCAACCAGGAGCTTTTGCTCTTTATCTAAAAACACAGCTAGAAGATTGAATCCATGAGTGGATAAGTGCATGCCAGGCTTCCCGGCCAATAACAGCTCTTTCTGTATCGTAAAGATATTCTTAAACATTGCTGCTGTGGGTCAGAAAGGTGAAGTGGGACGTTTACAGGGTTTTAGCAGTTTGTAAAATGAAATTCAATGACTAAATATTTTTAACCTCTGCAAACGAGAAAAATATTAACTTTTCCACTGCAGTGACACAAATTCAAATATGGCTTATATTAATGTCTGTATATCTGATGCGGACAGCTTTGGTAACCTACTAGGTCTTTCCTAGTTATTAGGAACTCAATTAGGAACTCAATTGTCTCTGTAGCTTCTAACCTTTTCCTGAACTCCAGTTTTGGAAACTCCTGTTTTTTTCAGTTTTGTTGATCTTCTAAATACGACATTCTTCTTATTACAATTTCTATTATCAGAATAAAAAAAAAAAAAAAAAAACCACAAAATATAAAATGTGCCATAAGTTTCGCACAGGCCACGTTTTATGTTTTACTCATGTTAAATTCAGTAAATAAACAGTAACTGTGCATTAAAATGTGCAGAAGTGTGTTCTCTGTATAGGATGTATTCACTTATTTACACTTAGAAAATCAACAAAACATGTTATTTGACCAGGGTTGCACAAACTTTTGCACATGGCTGTATATGATGACTGGATTAATCATCAAAGTGATCACTAGCACGAGATTACTCGATTACTAACAGAATCAAAAGTGACAGCTCTAAAAGAACATGGTTAAAGACTGACCTGCATAGTTCTGAACAACATGATTCACTTTTTGCTAATTTCTTAAATTGTTTAGGATGGTTGAGATGTAAGAGTCATTCAGAGTGGTTTGGTGTGAAACGCACTGCTCCAGAGAAACTTACCAAGTCAGAATTGTTCACAGTGGAGGTGATAGGAACCAGACATCCACCTCTAAAAGCTCCGTCACAGAAAGTTATTACCTGAAATGGTTATGAATACACTGCCTGATGTCTGAGACATCGTTTTACGATAGTTTTGCGAAGATTTTGGCCTAAAATATGTTTGTATAATCCATTAATGGAGGTGAGGCGAAATAGTCCCCAAAGAAAACATATATTTTTCCATCATATTTTTACCATCATAAACATTCCATATGAAACTCAGAATACATATGTAGGTTCACTGGTTGTTTTGTATAGTAAACAAAATGTTTATTTGTGTTGTAGTCGTAGCGAGCCCTGGTTCCTATAACCACCACTGTAAAGAAATCTGAACCATTTCACACCAAACCACTCTGAATGACTCTGTTTACATCTCAAACACTCAATTATGCAGAAAAATCTGTGGAATTTACCCTTTAACAAATACACAGTGCTGTCCTGACACAAACTCTTGAGCAGGTTTGATCATTTTTTTTGACTGAATGTTGTTTACTGAAAACTAACATGCATATACAATTTTTTTTAAGTTATTATTAACCATTATATCCTCAGGAGTGCATTAGGACTGAATGTCTGCATCCAATAAGAGTTTAAAAGCAGCTTTCAGTTCCAAATTCCAGCTATATTTAAACAGTCATTTTCACTCAAATGATGGATTGTGCTGAGGAGTTGACAGATGAACGTCGGTTCTAGACCATAAACAAATCATAAAGTGGGATCTACTGCTTAAAGCTGAATCCAAAGAGAGCAGAGGCAGCCAGGAGCTTTTGCTCTTTATCTAAAAACGCAGCTAGAAGACTAACTGTTTCAGATTCATGAGTGGATAAGTGCATGTTAGGCTTCCCAGCCAATAACATCTCTCTCTGTATCAAAAAGATATTCTGCAAACATTGCTGCTGTGTGTCAGAAAGGTGAAGTGGGACGTTTACAAGGTCTAAGCAGTTTGTAAAATGATTTTCAATGCTTTTTAATACTTTTTAACCTCCACAAATTATATATTGAAAATAATGAAATATTCACTTTTCCACTGCACAGTGACACAAACTCAAATATGGCTTATATTAATGTCTGTATGTGCGTGTTTTATTCAACAGATTTGTTGAAATTGGTTGATATTAGTAGTGGGGGGTATACCAGCTAAAATCCTTCCTCCCGTATGAGCTTTGTCAAAACTGTTCTACTGGCAGTGTGGAAATTCATGCAGATAGCAGGGCGTACAAACAGTGCTATCCACACTAAAGTTATCCTGTTTAGCTGAGTGTTTGAGCCAGGGATGTTTTAGTCATGTTTCAGCCAGGTTTCAGCCCACTTTGGTTTCGAAGCAGCGGACAGCAACTGCCACACTTCCTCTCGTACCACCCGATGGGCAGCCTGACTCAGTCAGTCGCATCAGACGACGCTGTGATTTTAGAACCTCGTGCACAAAACAAGCAGTGGACCGGCTGGTACTTAAGCATGACTGTCTGTAATATATGATAAATTCCAGCAGTGTCTGATGGTCAGAGGGGCA